TTTATATGTCACTAATTATTTGATTAAGGAATATTCTCTTGTTCTGATTCTAGTTACGCTTTTTTTTTAATTTGTACCTGTATTTATTGATTATCTACAGAATCTTATAAATTTTGAGTTTTTTAATATGCCAACACCATCTTGTCTTTCAGAACTTTTAGTCGTGAAATTACAACTGCCAAGCTTGGGATTACAAGTGGGGAAAGAATTTCATCTCTTGAGTTTATTCAGAAATTGGCCTATGCTACCTCAGAGAAAAATTATGACGAACTATATAGACTATTTGTTTCATCAGCTCCATCCACTGTTATAGATTAATATAACAACAATTGGCATAATATTCGTGATGAGTGGGTTTTTGGTCTAAAATTTATGAGCGGAAACCTCATGAACAGCACCAATAACCGGCTAGAAAATTTCAATGGAAAGTTAAAAGAAGTCATTGACTGCAATAGCTCTTTAGAAAACTTTCTTGATAAATTCTATGTTGTTCTAACATCAATGCGCAATGAAAGAGATCATAGGACCATTTTTCAAATGCAAAAAGTTTCTGTTGATGTGTTTGATCCTAATTCTGCTGAGGCAGCTTATAAAAAAGTTTTGACATTGTATGCTGCTCGACATGTTCTAAAACAAATGAGCTTGTTTAAAGAAATTATATTGTTACCAGGAGAACATGGCCAGTTCATAGTAAACAGCCATGAAGGTAGTCATATAGTGACTTCAAATTTTTGTTCATGCATGTTTCGAAAGTCAATGAACTTACCATGTCGACACATATTTGCTGCTCGCCAGTTGCTTGGGATAAATTTATTCGATACTGAGTTGTGTTCTGAGAGGTGGACATTAAAGTACTATCGTCAACATCAACGGGCCTTTAGTACCCAAGTCACGGATGGAAAGCCTGGAGCTGTAGATTTTCATGTTGCTCCAAAAGTAAAAGTGCATTCTCAGCATGAGAAGTTTAAACTTGCCATACAGGAGACATCACTTCTTGCTACCCTTGTATCTGAGTCCACAGGTCATACACTTGAACAACGTCTTAGTCTTTTGCGAACTTTAAGTAAAGGTTGGTCAGATGGAAAGGTAATGGTACTTAACGAACTTATTGAAGAAGATGATTTAGTAACGTGTGAACAAATATCTAAACAAACAGGAATATCATCTCATACATCAATAGCAGCAACATTAGTTTTTTCTGATGTTAATTTAACAACATTTTCTGCAGTCGGAACAGTTAATTCAACTTGTTTACCTGTTAGTGTTGATGTATCAACCTTACAAGCTGGTATTTGTTCAACAAGTTCTTCTACTACAGTTAGTGCATCTAAAAACGTTGCTAGCACATATTCAATAAATTCATTGGAATGTGCAGCACATGTAAACGATGAAGTCACTTTAATAGTTCCAAAAGTACTCAATAAAGAAAGTATATCAGTGTCACAGATAGGTGCACAATATGAAATTATAAATAACAAATTTTTATCAGAGCAAGCTGAAATTGCAGAAAAAGAACCATATCAGCAAGAAGAGTTGACATCTGGGAAGAGTGATGCAGGTGCAGGTTAATGTATAGTAGTATAATATTGGTAAAACAACAAATAAATTATTTATAGACTTCATTAACTTCATTTTATTTTATTGTAGATTCTTTTAATTTACTAATTTTATTGTAGATTCTTACTTGGCACAGATTCACGTGCCTAAACGTGTCAAACACTGTGGGCGTCCTAAAGGTTCTACTTTAACTACTATTGGTCTACCTAAAAAACGACAACGTCAGTTGCATGAAGGGCTAGTACCTTTTTTAAAACTTCATCCGTCTAAAAGACATGCTAGTATGTATAACCAATTTTGTAGACTGCAACTTGTAGTTTACTTTATTGATTGGTATTTTTTAAGTTTAATGTACTAGCTAAATTTTTATTTCCGGCTAATTAAATAATACTGACTATATATTTTTTTTGTAGTGATGCTGGGTTGGTTTTTGAAACCAGATGATGTCCAGAAAGCTCTTTCTGGCATTCTTATACAGAGTAGTTGTATAGAAAAAAGAGTGAATTGTATTTCTTCAGCTATTCTTGATGAAAGTGCTCTAGGATCTCTTTTGTCTCTGCAATCATATTTTACTGCAGATGGATGGAAAGTGCTCAATGAAATAATTGATGTCAAGTGTCAGCAACGAATTTGGCCTTGTGCTTTGTGCCAAAAAAGCACTTCCGTGGGCAATGACATTGGGGGCTCAATAGCATGTGATTCCTGCCTTTTGTGGTTTCACAAAAAATGTGTTGGCAAGAAAGAGGGTTGGTTTATAAAATCAAAATACTGGTTTTGTCGTTTTTGTTCAACTGTTTGATTGGAAATTATACATGCCTTTGTTTTATTTGGTATTAAATGGTTTACTTTATTGTTGTATTTTGTGTCTGACACATTTTAATATTTTTACAAACATTTTTACAAATATTTAAATAGCAAAACTTCTATGCAGTTTTAATACTTTTTGGGTTTCCAATTGGTGTTTAATTATGTTCCCAACTGTTGATAAATGTATTTTATTATTACAATTATTGTTATTATTATTATTTATTCTTCAATCCTTTAAACGTATTCAAAACATGCAATAATCTTAACATTAATATGCCAGTTAACATTTAATACCACAAACAAATCGTAATCGTAAATAATGTAGAGCTAGTTTAGAGTTTTTTCTTTACTTGAGCTGCAATTAACTAGTTAAATTAATATTCATGCATATAATAATCAGTTTAGTTTTAGAGCTAGTTTAGAGTTTTTTTCTTTACTTGAGCTGCAATTAATTAGTTGAATTAACATTCAAACATATAATGATCAGTTTAGTTTTAGAGTTAGTTTAGAGTTTTTTTCTTTACTAAAGCTGCAATTAATTAGTTAAATTAATATTCATGCGTATAATAATCAGTTTAGTTTTAGAGCTAGTTTAGAGTTTTTTTCTTTACTTGAGCTGCAATTAGTTAGTAAAATTCTTATTCAAGCATATAATGATCAGTTTAGTTTTAGAGTTAGTTTAGAGTTTTTTTCTTTACTAAAGCTGCAATTAATTAGTTAAATTAATATTCATGCATATAATAATCAGTTTAGTTTTAGAGCTAGTTTAGAGTTTTTTTCTTTACTTGAGCTGCAATTAGTTAGTAAAATTCTTATTCAAGTATTTTATGATCAGTTTAGTTTTAGAGTTAGTTTAGAGTTTTTTTCTTTACTAAAGCTGCAATTAATTAGTTAAATTAATATTCATGCATATATTAATCAGTTTAGTTTTGAGCTAGTTTAGAGTTTTTTTCTTTACTTGAGCTGCAATTAGTTAGTAAAATTCTTATTCAAGTATTTTATGATCAGTTTAGTTTTAGAGTTAGTTTAGAGTTTTTTTCTTTACTTAAAATTATTATTAAAGCATATATTAATCAGTTTAGTATTTTATTAGTTGAACACGCTCCTTACAATTTTGTTTTTTTATATTTTGTTCTAATTTAGATGAGATTATGGGACGCATGAACACTCTGGCTTCTAAGATGCATGCTGGGAGTTATTGTTGAGTAATAATTTAGTGAGTTTAATGAAAGTTGAACGATTGCAAATCTTATTTTTGAATTTTTGTTAACTTTTTCTATTTATTATATTATTGATAACATTTAATTGGTAAATAGAAGTATTTTCGCTGCTTTTATTCAGTGACAAGGAACAACATCCTAATTTTTTTTGTTATATTCTATTATTATTTAATTATTTTAGTTTTACCAAAACAAAGGCTGAAAATTGTGTATGCACTGTACCATTTTTATCACAAACTGGTTGAGTTATATGTACTGAATCTTTTATGTTTTGAATATATATTTTATACAAGTTTAAACATGTTACTTTTTATGATATTGTTATATTTTATTTTTGTTTTTCTTTAGTTTTACCGTTACCATCATTTGGAATTAGTTTGCTGGCTGTTGAGATATGGTTTTAAATAAAGTAAACTTTCATGATTTGAAATTTATTTTATTGATCATTAGCCAACAGCTATCAAAGAAGTCTATTCAACACAAGGAACTGGACCCTCTGGTGTATTGCCAGAGATGTTGAAAGCTTCAGGGGATGTGGGTGTCAGTGGATGTCATATCTTTACAATGCATTTGTACTTGAAGGTAAAATTGCTCCAATATGTGGTTCATACTGAGGAATTGAACTACTTGCCAGGTAATAATTATTTTAGAAAGAATTATTGCAAACAAAAAATAAGGAGCAGTATATTTATCAATAACATGCAATTTGGTTTTATGTCAGGAAAAGGACTGGATATCAGAATGTAAAGATACAGATGTTTCGATATCAGCATATAGGATGCTAAAACGATGATAATGATGATGATGATAATGATGATGTTGATATTGATGATAATGATGAAGATGATGATGATGATGATGATGATGATGATGATGATGATGATGATGATGATGATGATGATGATGATGATGATGATGATGATGATGATGATGATGATGATGATGATAATGATGATGAAGTTTTTAAAGTTTAACAGTGTAGAAATGTTTGGGGAACAATCGGTAAAAATATCATTTGTGATAAAAATATTCATTCATAATGATGATGATGATGATAATGATGATGATTAAACTAAGTCATCATATGATGACTTTAAGCTTAAGCATTTATTAGTTGCTTGTTTTTAAGCGGATAATAACTTTCTTTCAGGTGGTTACTAGTAAGTCTAGTAGCAAGTAATGTTGTGTAATGATGTGTAATATTATTGCTAGTAGCAGTCTTAAAACATTAGTAATAGCATAGCAATAACATATTAGCAACAGTAATATATACAAAGTATAGCAATTTCTCAAATAACATGAAATATCATAATGTACATATGTACATATTTAATACTAGATTTTAGCAATATAGTAATAATAATAGTTTTTTACAAAATGTAATGTTAGGGTAACAATTGGTAAAAATACCTTTCATTTTCAGTTAAAATAAAAAAATAATATGAAAAAAAACCAGTTAAAAACATTAAACTGTTTATTAATTTCAACATCCTATTGCGTGTGTATGTGAGTGTGTGTGTGTGTGTGTGTGTGTGTGTGTGTGTGTGTTTATGTGTGTATATACTTATATTTGTAAATTAAAGTTTTTCCATTTCCATTTACTGTTAACAAAAGTTAATAAAAATTGGGAATCTACTTTTTTTGAAAGTAACAATATTTTCACATTATTTCTAAAGATTTTATAAATCTTATAGTAGATTAAAAATAGATTTTATAAGTCTGCTTATAAATGTTCTTCTGATAAATGGTTTAAGTTGTGCATTTTGGCAGAGGCAAAAATCTGAACAAAAAATCTAAATAAAATGTTATTGCTACAAAATATGAAAAACCTTGATTAGTCATGAATAAGAGTTTTAACCATTCTTTTAAAGTCCAATTTAAATGATCTTTGGTGAATTTTGTTTTGGGCTTGGCCATTCTTTAACAATTTTATTGGAATCATGACATGGCAATGACCAAACAAATTATGCTGATGCAGTCAAAATTTTGTACTATCAACGATACCCTTTACTCTTAATTTTAGAAGTATTACAGTTTCTGCATTTCATACTATGCTTGTTGTTGAATTTTTTTTAAGAATTTTTCTTCTAATAATCATGGATTATTGTTTATTATTTTTATTGTGACAATTATATAAGCTTTCCCATTTCAAAATATATACATTCTTCTTCTTACTGTTAAGTTATTGTTTCATTTTAGCTAATTATACTAAGTAGTCACATTAGAAGAATAATTAATGAAAAATTCATTTATAATTGGAAAAATAAGATAAATTATAACAAAAGAACTTATTATAACTAGCTGTTTATAAACTTTTGCACAGTTACGTTTTCCGATTATTTAATATTTTAAAATGGAACGAAAAATATATTCCGTTCCCTTTAAAAATATTGAATAATCATAATGAAAAAAAGTTATAAACTTTACTTTTTATGGTTTATTTTCTTCTAGTGCATTTTGTTAGATAAATAAGATAATTTTACTACTTTTCTAAATTTTAAACTAAAGATCAAGGGAACATTAGCTAAAGTAAAATTTAATTCTAAAATTGAAATCATAAACAATACAACTTAAAAGTACAACCTTGTCCTTAACTATGAGTTTCGATCTTGACCTTTGATCTTTAAATTGTCACAAATAATCTTTTACTTCTTAATATCAACAATTTTGCAATGTTTTGAGGATAATAACACTAAATTGTTCTGATTACTGTTGAAAGAAAGTTATTATCCGCTTAAAAACAAGCAACTAATAAATGCTTCAGCTTAAAGTCATTATATGATGACTTAGTTTAATCTTCATCATTATCATCATCATCATCATTATGAATGAATATTTTTATCACAAATGATATTTTTACCGATTGTTCCCCAAACATTTCTACACTGTTAAACTTTAAAAACTTCATCATCATTATCATCATCATCATCATCATCATCATCATCATCATCATCATCATCATCATCATCATCATCATCATCATCATCATCATCTTCATCATTATCATCAATATCAACATCATCATTATCATCATCATCATTATCATCGTTTTAGCATCCTATATGCTGATATCGAAACATCTGTATCTTTACATTCTGATATCCAGTCCTTTTCCTGACATAAAACCAAATTGCATGTTATTGATAAATATACTGCTCCTTATTTTTTGTTTGCAATAATTCTTTCTAAAATAATTATTACCTGGCAAGTAGTTCAATTCCTCAGTATGAACCACATATTGGAGCAATTTTACCTTCAAGTACAAATGCATTGTAAAGATATGACATCCACTGACACCCACATCCCCTGAAGCTTTCAACATCTCTGGCAATACACCAGAGGGTCCAGCTCCTTGTGTTGAATAGACTTCTTTGATAGCTGTTGGCTAATGATCAATAAAATAAATTTCAAATCATGAAAGTTTACTTTATTTAAAACCATATCTCAACAGCCAGCAAACTAATTCCAAATGATGGTAACGGTAAAACTAAAGAAAAACAAAAATAAAATATAACAATATCATAAAAAGTAACATGTTTAAACTTGTATAAAATATATATTCAAAACATAAAAGATTCAGTACATATAACTCAACCAGTTTGTGATAAAAATGGTACAGTGCATACACAATTTTCAGCCTTTGTTTTGGTAAAACTAAAATAATTAAATAATAATAGAATATAACAAAAAAAATTAGGATGTTGTTCCTTGTCACTGAATAAAAGCAGCGAAAATACTTCTATTTACCAATTAAATGTTATCAATAATATAATAAATAGAAAAAGTTAACAAAAATTCAAAAATAAGATTTGCAATCGTTCAACTTTCATTAAACTCACTAAATTATTACTCAACAATAACTCCCAGCATGCATCTTAGAAGCCAGAGTGTTCATGCGTCCCATAATCTCATCTAAATTAGAACAAAATATAAAAAAACAAAATTGTAAGGAGCGTGTTCAACTAATAAAATACTAAACTGATTAATATATGCTTTAATAATAATTTTAAGTAAAGAAAAAAACTCTAAACTAACTCTAAAACTAAACTGATCATAAAATACTTGAATAAGAATTTTACTAACTAATTGCAGCTCAAGTAAAGAAAAAAACTCTAAACTAGCTCAAAACTAAACTGATTAATATATGCATGAATATTAATTTAACTAATTAATTGCAGCTTTAGTAAAGAAAAAAACTCTAAACTAACTCTAAAACTAAACTGATCATAAAATACTTGAATAAGAATTTTACTAACTAATTGCAGCTCAAGTAAAGAAAAAAACTCTAAACTAGCTCTAAAACTAAACTGATTATTATATGCATGAATATTAATTTAACTAATTAATTGCAGCTTTAGTAAAGAAAAAAACTCTAAACTAACTCTAAAACTAAACTGATCATTATATGCTTGAATAAGAATTTTACTAACTAATTGCAGCTCAAGTAAAGAAAAAAACTCTAAACTAGCTCTAAAACTAAACTGATTATTATACGCATGAATATTAATTTAACTAATTAATTGCAGCTTTAGTAAAGAAAAAAACTCTAAACTAACTCTAAAACTAAACTGATCATTATATGTTTGAATGTTAATTCAACTAATTAATTGCAGCTCAAGTAAAGAAAAAAACTCTAAACTAGCTCTAAAACTAAACTGATTATTATATGCATGAATATTAATTTAACTAGTTAATTGCAGCTCAAGTAAAGAAAAAACTCTAAACTAGCTCTACATTATTTACGATTACGATTTGTTTGTGGTATTAAATGTTAACTGGCATATTAATGTTAAGATTATTGCATGTTTTGAATACGTTTAAAGGATTGAAGAATAAATAATAATAATAACAATAATTGTAATAATAAAATACATTTATCAACAGTTGGGAACATAATTAAACACCAATTGGAAACCCAAAAAGTATTAAAACTGCATAGAAGTTTTGCTATTTAAATATTTGTAAAAATGTTTGTAAAAATATTAAAATGTGTCAGACACAAAATACAACAATAAAGTAAACCATTTAATACCAAATAAAACAAAGGCATGTATAATTTCCAATCAAACAGTTGAACAAAAACGACAAAACCAGTATTTTGATTTTATAAACCAACCCTCTTTCTTGCCAACACATTTTTTGTGAAACCACAAAAGGCAGGAATCACATGCTATTGAGCCCCCAATGTCATTGCCCACGGAAGTGCTTTTTTGGCACAAAGCACAAGGCCAAATTCGTTGCTGACACTTGACATCAATTATTTCATTGAGCACTTTCCATCCATCTGCAGTAAAATATGATTGCAGAGACAAAAGAGATCCTAGAGCACTTTCATCAAGAATAGCTGAAGAAATACAATTCACTCTTTTTTCTATACAACTACTCTGTATAAGAATGCCAGAAAGAGCTTTCTGGACATCATCTGGTTTCAAAAACCAACCCAGCATCACTACAAAAAAAATATATAGTCAGTATTATTTAATTAGCCGGAAATAAAAATTTAGCTAGTACATTAAACTTAAAAAATACCAATCAATAAAGTAAACTACAAGTTGCAGTCTACAAAATTGGTTATACATACTAGCATGTCTTTTAGACGGATGAAGTTTTAAAAAAGGTACTAGCCCTTCATGCAACTGACGTTGTCGTTTTTTAGGTAGACCAATAGTAGTTAAAGTAGAACCTTTAGGACGCCCACAGTGTTTGACACGTTTAGGCACGTGAATCTGTGCCAAGTAAGAATCTACAATAAAATTAGTAAATTAAAAGAATCTACAATAAAATAAAATGAAGTTAATGAAGTCTATAAATAATTTATTTGTTGTTTTACCAATATTATACTACTATACATTAACCTGCACCTGCATCACTCTTCCCAGATGTCAACTCTTCTTGCTGATATGGTTCTTTTTCTGCAATTTCAGCTTGCTCTGATAAAAATTTGTTATTTATAATTTCATATTGTGCACCTATCTGTGACACTGATATACTTTCTTTATTGAGTACTTTTGGAACTATTAAAGTGACTTCATCGTTTACATGTGCTGCACATTCCAATGAATTTATTGAATATGTGCTAGCAACGTTTTTAGATGCACTAACTGTAGTAGAAGAACTTGTTGAACAAATACCAGCTTGTAAGGTTGATACATCAACACTAACAGGTAAACAAGTTGAATTAACTGTTCCGACTGCAGAAAATGTTGTTAAATTAACATCAGAAAAAACTAATGTTGCTGCTATTGATGTATGAGATGATATTCCTGTTTGTTTAGATATTTGTTCACACGTTACTAAATCATCTTCTTCAATAAGTTCGTTAAGTACCATTACCTTTCCATCTGACCAACCTTTACTTAAAGTTCGCAAAAGACTAAGACGTTGTTCAAGTGTATGACCTGTGGACTCAGATACAAGGGTAGCAAGAAGTGATGTCTCCTGTATGGCAAGTTTAAACTTCTCATGCTGAGAATGCACTTTTACTTTTGGAGCAACATGAAAATCTACAGCTCCAGGCTTTCCATCCGTGACTTGGGTACTAAAGGCCCGTTGATGTTGACGATAGTACTTTAATGTCCACCTCTCAGAACACAACTCAGTATCGAATAAATTTATCCCAAGCAACTGGCGAGCAGCAAATATGTGTCGACATGGTAAGTTCATTGACTTTCGAAACATGCATGAACAAAAATTTGAAGTCACTATATGACTACCTTCATGGCTGTTTACTATGAACTGGCCATGTTCTCCTGGTAACAATATAATTTCTTTAAACAAGCTCATTTGTTTTAGAACATGTCGAGCAGCATACAATGTCAAAACTTTTTTATAAGCTGCCTCAGCAGAATTAGGATCAAACACATCAACAGAAACTTTTTGCATTTGAAAAATGGTCCTATGATCTCTTTCATTGCGCATTGATGTTAGAACAACATAGAATTTATCAAGAAAGTTTTCTAAAGAGCTATTGCAGTCAATGACTTCTTTTAACTTTCCATTGAAATTTTCTAGCCGGTTATTGGTGCTGTTCATGAGGTTTCCGCTCATAAATTTTAGACCAAAAACCCACTCATCACGAATATTATGCCAATTGTTGTTATATTAATCTATAACAGTGGATGGAGCTGATGAAACAAATAGTCTATATAGTTCGTCATAATTTTTCTCTGAGGTAGCATAGGCCAATTTCTGAATAAACTCAAGAGATGAAATTCTTTCCCCACTTGTAATCCCAAGCTTGGCAGTTGTAATTTCACGACTAAAAGTTCTGAAAGACAAGATGGTGTTGGCATATTAAAAAACTCAAAATTTATAAGATTCTGTAGATAATCAATAAATACAGGTACAAATTAAAAAAAAAGCGTAACTAGAATCAGAACAAGAGAATATTCCTTAATCAAATAATTAGTGACATATAAACAATGACTATTACCGAAGGGTGTGAAATAAACAGAGTAATAGAGATACCCCCGGAAAAGCACCACGCAATACATCTCTTTCGTTCAAGTCTTTATCTGTCATGAAAACATTTGTCTTTGGCCAAGAAATATTATAACTCTTGAATCTTTCAATGAACCAACTAAAAATTATGTACAAAAAATTTCATAGCTTTCACATAATCTATTTTCTATGTATATTTTTTGTAAGAATTTTTTGGTGTGTGACTCAAGGACACCTAATACTGTCAGATGGTTTTATTTAATATTAGTTTTATCTGTTATAAAGTAATTTCATCAAAGCCAGATATAGTTAATAAATCATACCTCAGAGATGCAGCATCTTCACGTGCAAGCAAACCGACAGCTGCTATTTCACTTTCACCTATGAAAAATATTTGTAGTAACAAGCTAAATTTTAATTTGTAGTAACAAGCTAAATTTTAAAGCTAAAGCTAATTTCAAAAATCAATCTAACAAAAAAAAAAAACAGTAACCAAAATTAAAATTAGTAACTAAAGTTATATAAAGAAGCAATCCAAACTAACCAGCTCCGTCTTCACATAGCAGAATATATACTGGCAAACGAATTTCTAATAATTTATAAGTTGCATCCATGCATAAAAATTCAGGATATGCATTGTAAACACTATGCATTGAAATATCTTGGAAAAAAAGCCCTTGTAAATTATTTTCTGCATCCGTTAAAACATCTACATTAGCATCTAAAATACATATATTTATAAAGTGACGAATCTAGGGGGATTAGGGGTATGTATTACCTCCCCAACCAAAATATATGTCTTTTAAAATGTTTGAAATTGAAAATTTTATAAATATATATATATATATATATATATATATATATATATATATATATATATATATATATATATATACATATATATATATATATATATATATATATATATATATATATATATATATATATATATATATATATATATATATATATATATATATGTATATGTATATATATATATATATGTATATGTATATGTATATGTATATATATTTATAAATATATATACATATATATATATATATATATACATATATATATATATATATATATATATATATATATATATATATATATATATATATATATATATATATATATTTATATATATATGTATATGTATATGTATATGTATATATATTTATAAATATATATACATATATATATATATATATATATATATATATATATATATATAATATATATATATATATATATATATATAAACATATATATTTGAAAAAAGAGCATGCACAAAATGTAACAAAATAAAAATCAAAAATGAAAATAATTATAAATATGATAATTTACAAAAAAAATTATTATTTTATAACTTATGTTAAAATCTTATTTCATAACTTTCTTACTGTATTTTTCCTTTAAAGTCTTAACAAAGCTTGTTAAATTATTTCGGGTATCACTTTTGCATGCAGAAGCAGCAATATTTGATAAGTCACGAAGAGTTATCATTTTTCCAGTCTCCTTTGACAATTCTTGTTGTAGAAGTTTTTTATTAGCTTTTAAGCGTAACAAGCTTTCTGCTTTTGCAATAGCATAATTGGAAAGTCTTCTTTGATTTGGTAAATGTTTATACAAAATCTATTTTAAAAAGCAATTCTTTATTCATTATAATAAAGAAAATAAACAGAACATATAATTTAATATGGTCTAATCCTGACACCTTTCCAGGTTACTTGGCAGTCACAAAATTCAATAATCAAGCAATATATATATATATATATATATATATATATATATATATATATATATATATATATATATATATATATATATATATATATATATATATATATATATATACTGTGTTAATAAGAATTTTACAAAAACACATGTAATTGCAAATGGTGATTTACTAATAAAACGCAATGACCTAAATAAGATAAAGAAAAAACTAATAATAACAATATTATTAATAATAATAATAAAAGAAATAAATTAACCACATAATAAAAGTAGAATTTCACAGCAACACCCATAAAACAGAACTTAAGGTAAGATATAGGTAAATTAATTATTATAATGTGTTAATATATATACATGCACAAATAAAAAATTATAAGATGTACTTATACACACACACACACACACACACACACACAAAAAAAAAAGTTATAGAGGTAAAGAATGAAGTTAAGTGTAACTTTTTAGGTAGAAATGATGGAGTGACCTTAAGAACAGATTCTTGGACCTAGGGATGAAATCTGATTTTAGGGTGTTCGGAAGGGTGTTTCAAGAAAGGATACACTGGTATGTAATCGAATTAATTCCATGTTCAGTTGTCTGTCTTAGTGGAATAGTTAAGTTGTTGTAAGTGACTGATCTTAGGTTATGACCATGTTGTTGATACCAGACGAATGAACAAATTAAGAACTGAATTAAGTCGTAGAAACAAAGAATTTTGGATGTCACTTGGAAAACTTCTTGGGCAGAAACTTCTTCGGGCATTTATATAAATGAAACTCCAGGACATTTCAAGATTCAATTCACATTTTTCAGGAGATTGTATCATAAAATCAACAACAGGTATGCCATGAGAAAATGGAACATATTTTCCTAATTTTAACACAATGTTTCAGATTTTTCTTTTTGATAATAAATATTAACAATGTTTACAAATACTTTAAATATATGGTGTAGTTTTAATTATTTTCCCTTTTTCAACCACTCTATAAGGAACCTGAAATAAATGGTCTTTATCAAAAAAAAATTTATAAGTACTTATAACTTACCTCAGATACTTCATGATTATGTTCATTGTTTAAATCTTGCAAGATTAATGTTTGTCCATCTTCTGATGCTTTAAAACTTAAGAAGAATGGACACTCTTTTTTATAAGTCCTATAATAAGCATGTTTAAAATTAGTTATTTTTTCATGAAATAAATATTCTAACTTTTGATGAAATAAAACATTTGTGTTAGAACATGGTTTATTTCCTATGCACAAATAAGTTATTAACAATTTATTTTTTAAATCTTATTTTATTATAAACTTTTCATTAATGATAATAAATTATTAAAATAAAACAACTACTAACGAAGTTTGACGTTTTCCATTGCCTTTATTTGTAAACTTTTTTCCGCCATGTATACAACAGTACTTTATATAATAATACTTTATCTGTGGAGCCATTGAAGCAGCTTTTCTTGGAATGGTTTTTCGAGCTGCTTCAATTGTTTTTGCGTCACGAATCCACAACTGCACAAAATGAGAATCTTCATATTTCTTAATAGTAGATTTTAAATCTTCAAATGATAAAAAAATATCTTTGCATGCAAAACTAGTTGACATCTTCAAAGTATAAATGAAATGAAATTTTTCCAATATATAGTTCAAATATTTTTCCAATGATTGGAATTTAAAATATATGATATCGGAATTTGTTTTGGCACGTGATATTTTTTAACCAATAAACGGGCTTCCGGCACTATAAGCATATTTCGTTAGAGTGCCGACTTTCGGCACTCTATCCACGGCCAAATATTTTTGTGTTCTGGCTTGGCATTATGCGGAGGTCTGCGAAATACTTAGTTTCAAGACTTTACATCTGAAACAGGTATCTTTTCCTTTTTTATACAGGTTCAGTTTATTTGATAAAGCAGTACACAATATTATAGGTTATAGAATGCATATTTAAAATAAATAGTTATGACACTTGCAAGATTAACGTTGGTTAAAGACTATTATAAACAAGTTTTATTTTTTGTTACTTGTTAACTATTTTACCTTAGGTATCCGTGAGTTGTGTGTTTTAGCTTTAATTGGGAAGTTACTTTCTGGTCCTTGATATTCTTTACTGGTTATATTGATTTTAAAATCACGTCACTTGGACTCCTTTAGGTGTTTTTAAATAAAGTTATTTTTACTTTGAGATTTTTTTAAAGCCATTTTTGTTTTGTGTATCATTACATATGTTAAAAAATAAAGATTAATTTTAAAATCACCAGCTATTTTGTTTGTTTTTAGATAAAAGGTCTTTCCATATGAAATCATCTAGTTTTTCAAAAGTGCCTTATAGTACCACTATAGATTTGCTTCAAATTTTAACCACTACAGATTTTATAAAAAATAAAAATAATAAAGATTTTTTTTGTTTCAACCTGTTCAAAAGTCATGCTCAAATCAATATTAACTAAGTTCAAAGAAATTTAAGTTTTTTGATTTTTTAACAATCCGTATATTTGTAAATAAAAACAAATATCACCTGAAATGAATATTTTTGGGTAAAAAACTATTAACACACAAACTTTTAATTGATAACCTCTTTTGTTTACAAAGTTATGGTTTCGAGAAAATCAAAAAATTCTAATGTAAATTTTACATATTCAAACTTTGGTTATAAAACATTCATTATTCATCCATTCATTACTTTCAAGCATATAGGACAATGAAGCTAAAATTTTCAGAATTATGTTTTGCTATTGCTTTCCATAAAATATGTGGCCAGTCAATATTTAAAGCAATTCTGAGGTGTTATCCTTGGGCCATTGGGTGATTTAAGATAAAATGACCTTAAAGTTATTTATTTATTTATTTTTTTTTTTGGTAACCTTTTTGATTTTAGGTTGACATAAGACAGAAACTGTTAAAAATAAATTAAATACACATGTTCTATAAGACTCTTTTTCTAAAATTGTAAATTTTTTATGAAATCTGTTATAAAATTTATACAGCTGTGTTTTTTGAGCATTAAAATTTACTTTGTTGGTATCTATTTATAAATTACGATGAAAATATTTAGATAAAAATTTAAATATATTTATAAATATATATAATATACATAGGAGTCACAAATATGTTTGTACAATTAATTTCAGCGAGGTAAGGTTTGATTACGTATCAAGTAATGAAACACCTTTATTTTTAAATGTTTTATTTTAAAATGTTTTTATTGTTTAAGAAACAAGGTCATAAAATTAAAAATGACTTTTAATTTGCTTTTTAAGTCTAAGATTTTAGATAGATTTTTGAATTGACTAGAAGAACATTTGTTTACTAATATAAAAGAAATGTCATAATAGAATAAGTAATTAAAAAATGTTTTCATAGTACTAAAGTGAAACTCATACGATACTTACAAACAAGATCTAAAAGCTTGACAACCTACTTTTTTGTTGTTACAGTAAACAACTAAGAATATTTTTTTTACTGTCATCAATACACTATAAAATTGTTATTTTTTATATAATGTTTGTTGACACATTTATTGCGTTTTAAATTTCGTAAGTCATAAGTATATTTTATTTTATATTTATTTATTTATTTGTTTTTATTTTCTAAAATTTATTTTGAAACTAAGTTTAAATGAAAATAAACTTTATATTAAGTAAATTATATTATGTTACCAGAAAAAGTGTTTAAAAAAGTAAACATCTTCAGCTAATTTTTTTTTATATAAAGATTAAAATAAAATATAAAATATTGATTTACAATATAATTCGGGTGTTAATTGATTGTATTCTCAACAGACTGTACTTTTAGTTGACTTTCTTTTCAATCAACTTAATATCTATTTAAAACATTTCCTTATTTCGTTTAATTCTTTTTTTCTTACAACAGAAAGTTAATTTTTTTTTTGTATTATTAATATTAATAAATCTGTGAATTAAATGACATTCATTTTCTTGATGTGTTATTTCATTAAGTGATTTAATATAAATTAATTTTTAAATTTATTTACAAAATAATATGAATATAATAAAGTAATTTTTTATGAAAATGAATAACTTGTATTATATTATTTTTAGTATGTTACGTTTATGAAATTATGTTTTAAAAATGTGATAAAAGTTATGTTTAAATTAATGAAATTAAATATTTTTTTGTATTTTTAATAAATAATTATTCAAAGTTTTACTTGTTTTACAATACAAAGATCATAATTTAATATTATTGTATATATTAATATATTAGTATATATTAATATTTTTTTGTAAATATATTTTTTAAATGTATTTATTAATTATATGTTTTTATAATTTTTTATTCAGTTATAATTTAATATAAATATTTGTATTAATATCTAAATTATTTCATTATACATATAAATATTATTTTTTATAATTTCAAATATTATTTAAATTATTATTTATTTGTTTATATATACATAACATTTATTTTTTCTTTAGAACGTCTACTAAAATTATCTCCTCGAAGTGATAATGATTATTACTGTATATTATTTATTGAATGTTTTTATGAAAGTCAATCATCATTTACTGATGAAATAAAGTTAATCGTCGATGAACAAAAGTGGACAATTGCCATTGACTATGGAAAAACTTCTTACAACATTTCTTGTGAAAATTATTTTGTAGATTATTACATAAAATCTGGAAGAAAGTTATCGATGCTAAGTATTAATAAAACTATTTTAAGTGATGAAGAAAAAAATTTTTGTTTTTAATGTTCAACAAATGTTTGTGTTATCAACTTTTGGTGTCCAATTAAATTTGAAGGATGAACACCAAAAGATAAGATTGAAATGTTTTGGATACAAATCTCACGTTATTTAATAACAAAAAAAGATTTTGAAGAAATTTTTTTTCCATAGATTAATCTTTGTGAAGGATTACGCCTTTCACTTTACTACGACATCGCATTGAAGAGATTTGTGAATGGATTCGTTGTTCGAATATTAAGAAGTTTTAGATCATCTACAGTGAAAAGATTTTCGTAACCTCAATAAATTAAAAATCTTTATAAGACCATATTATAAACAGGAATTAAGAAAAAATCTCTTAAAATAAAATATAAACAATAATTATAAAATTATAAATGAAATATTTAATGTATTATTTTATAAATAAATATGTTTTGAAAAAATCAAATTAATTATAATAATATTTAAAGTTAATTTAAATTTTATTATTAAAGGATGATATAATTAATTTGAATTAATGTATAATAATAATAAAGAATTATAGTTATTATAATATATATATATATATATATATATATATATATATATATATATATATATATATATATATATATATATATATATATATATGTATATATATATATATATATATATATATATATATATCAGGCTTTCACAGGAAGATGTGCAATTTCACGTCTTTATATGACCACACTAGTTACATTTTGCTATGACAGTTTGACCACGTTATTAAGTTTTATCTTAAATGCATTTATATTATTGAAACTCTTTTAATGAATTAAAAAAAAAAACACTTCTTATTAATTAAAAAAAAAAAAAAAATTATTTTATTTATATAACTATATATTTTTTATGAGAAATATTTAACTTTTAAACATATTAAACAAATAAAAAGTATATAAAAATGTTGAAACAAAGATTTAAAATTAAATAGACTAAGCATTTTAGTTAGATGAGTTTTGGTTTAGTTGTGTTATATATATATATATATATATATATATATATATATATATATATATATATATATATATATATATATATATATATATATATATATATATATATATATATATATATATATATTTATTTTTTTTTGTTTTTGCTTTAACTGAGTTTGAATATTTATTATTTTTTAAAATTTTAAAAATATGATGTGGTCAAATCGTTAATACATTTTTTTTGCGTGGTCATATAAAGACGTGAAATTGTACATCTTCCTGTGAAAGCCTGTATATTATTATTATTATTATTATTATTGCTATTATTATTATTCTTATTATTATTATTATTATTATTATTATTATTATTACTATTATTTTGTTATTACTATTGTTAAAATAACATGGTAATATTTTTATTATCATTATTTATTTATTATTTTTATTATTATTATTGTAAATGTTATTTTTTTATAATTACCAATTACTATTTTAATCATTGTCATTAGGTGTTTACATAATATTAGTAGTTTATACCATTTGCAAACAATCTTAAAATGTAATACCAAATATTTCATAAATATATTGATTGATTGATTTATATTATAAAAATAGATAATATTTTTTTATTTTGATTTTTTAAAATAGTTATTAGTATTACTTTTTTGCGTTTATAAAATGTTTTAATATTTAAAATGTTGTATAAAATTCTTATTTAATTTTTTGAAGATATGGATAATAAAAAATATAAAGAAGTTTTACTTAAAATTGCAAACAATTTGTTGGATAAAGATGTTAAAGCCATTAAGTTTTATTATTCACAACAAATTGGCTACAGTCGTTTAGAAAATATTGAATCTCCTATTGAATTAATTCAAACTTTAGAACACCGTATGCTTCTAGGGATTGATAGCTATGATGCTTTTGTCGAGGTACTTGAAATAATTGGAAGAAATGATCTGATAAAATGTTTTTCTGGTGAGTGTAATAAAAGTATTATATTAGTGTATTGCACACACTTATTTGTTATTTACATCTAGCAGACTTAGCTACTCTAAAATGCCACTGATGATGTCATACTAAAACAGCCAATAAATTGTCACAAGAATTATAAGGTTTTATCTGATGTTTTTTATATTTTGATATTATATTGTTAAAATATTTTATTTTTGTTATTCTCTTTAATCTCTTAAATTATAAATTGTTTTTTTATGTATGTTATTTGTGTTTTATGATTTAACATATACTTAGGTGGAAGGGGGAGGGGGATTAAGGGTCCCAAAATTTTATATTTTTTTGTTAACCAGTTAACCAATTAACTTTAAAAAAAATTTTTGTAGTTGGCCTTCTACTCTAGGCCTACCACAACCACAATCACTTCTACTTCTATTTTAAATTTTTAAAGATACTAAAAAACATGAAAAGTATTTTGATTGGATAAATTTAAATTAAAACGAAGTTGCATATTGTCAAAATAAGTTTTATATACTTAAAAAATTGTTTTATTCCACTAAAGAATGTTTTGCCTAAATTTTTATATCTAAAGTTTAATATCAATTAAAATGTTTTTTGTTTTTCATGGTTTTTCGAAATAGGGAGGGGGCAGATTTATCAATTTTTTTAAAAAGATCCTTTATATCTTGAAATTTCTTTTTTTTAAAAAGTGTATAGTGATTTTGAAGATTAATTTACTGAAAAAGAATAGACAAATAATGAAGACCAAATCTTTGAAAAAGACACTAAATTAATTAAAAAATAGAGTTATATTTGTTGAAACACAAGAGCCATACATAACTAGGTCAAAACCAAAATTAATATTAAAAGAAATTCCCCATAATATTTACGTTCCAGTAAATGTGTGGCAATCAAAAAACTTTGTCTTAAATGGTATCTACTATGCCTGTACAGTGATAGATAGAGAGTGATTCTCTATGAAAGAAATCCGAATTGCGCTTAAAGTAATCATTAGTTGAATTTTTAAAGCAAAATCGAAAATTTCAGGAAAAAAATGACTGTATATCTAAGTAAGATTAAAATGATAGTGAAGCTATGGAGTACATGTTCATTAATTCTAACACATTCAAAACCTTCATTGTCTTACATAAATAACTAAAACAAATGGATGCATACTCTCTTGGCTTTTTAGCAGAACAAATTATGCAAGCTTTAGTTAAGATATAATAGCTTACTCAATTGACAAACAATTAAATTGTGACAAACAATTAAATTGTGACTGCATCTTCTGGTTTACATATTAGTTGAGGATATTATTTTCTTTTGCCTACATTAGCAATTGCTTCATAAACTACAGCAATTATTGCAGCTGGAATAAAAAAACATTTTAAATGTTACAGAAAAACTCAAAAGAACTATAAATGGAGGTAGATGTTCATATAACTGACATTATTGTTTATAATTTAGACATGTCTAAAATCACAGCTGATATTTTGATTAAAAGCAAGATTTGTTAAAATTTGGAGATACAAGTAGGTCAATTGTTGCAGAAATAAACTCTATTTAAAATCATGATTGTTGATAAAAATATGAAAAAGTGTTGTATATCTACAGAAGAATAAGCTACTAACTTAAAGGTTGTACTTGGAAAGTCCAATCCATGATTATCTATGATGACTTTTACAATTTTGTACTTTAGTTAGAAATAACAAATAGTTCTTAATATAAACTAATCTGATGATGTACAATTTTTTCTATTATTTCTAACTAGATATAATGGTTTTGTTTTGTTATTAAGAATGAAAAGAAAAAAATTAATATAGGTTCTAGATTTAAAAGTAATAATGATTTCATTTAGTTTGACAATTAATTATTTTGTCAAAATAGTCACTTATTAAAAGTAGAAGTGTAAATATTTATAATTAAGTAAAAATATTATGTAATTTGTAATGCGAATGTAAAATTATTATAACTGTTTAGATGTTTAGATGATTTTCAAACATTTTAGAAATGGGTTGAAAAAAGAAATGCTAGCCTAACTTAAAGGGATCCACAACTGCCGAGACAAGTTGTGTTCATATTAAAGAAAATGTTTAAAAAAAAAACATTTGGGTTAAATTTTTTTTAATAAAACTATATAATGAATGCACACTATTAAATTTAAAATAAACGTTTTTGTCGAAGCTCGCCGTCTCCTTTTTTTTTTGCTTCTCGGAGTCTGTATTATGTTAGCCGCAATCTGCAGACTTGATAATTTATTCCATGTGTGTTTAATTCATAACAGTTTCGGTAAATGATGTCATCGTATAACTTTTTTCTCTTTCAAGATGCTGTATTATTTTTTTACCAAAATCATCAAATCATGTTAATTGTATAACTTTTTACTAAATCCCAAAAAAATTTTATAATGCAATTAAAAATTAAATTTATAAAATTTATAAAAATAAGAATTTAATATATAATGAATATATACAGTAAACATAGTGGTACAAACTAAATATAAACTAGATACTAAAAAAATAATTTAACAAAAGCGTATAAATTAATTTAAAGTATAAACTGAAAAAAAAAACAAGTGACTTGAATAAAATATATAAACTAAACTAAGTAGAAAATAAATATTAAATGACTTATTTTACTAAAATCTGTTCAACTCAAACTAAATTAAAGTTATAACAAATATTTGTACTAAAATATACAAGAAGTTATTATAATATAAATATAAAAATAAAGAATTAAATTGTTCGCTACCAGCCGAACAAAAATCTTTTTGTAGCAACCGCACATTTTTTTGAATAACATTTGAATAGCATAACATTGACAATTAATTAAAATTCGATAATAAAGTTTTTAACACGCATCATTAAACAATAAGAAAGGCAAACTATTGTTTTTTAAGTATTAACTAAAACAATAAGTCTAAAACAAACCTCATTTAATAAATAAAAATAACATTTTTTCTTCAAAATACTTTGGTAATTACTTTACTAAATATTTAACACTTTTACAAGTTTAGTTTTACAGTGTTAATGCTGTTTTATTTTATAACTAAATTTTAAGTTTTTTTATGAAGGATTATTCAAGATTAACTTTGTGATAACTTTTTTATAATTACACAATATAGCTCTTATTTTTTCTTGATTATGTAGGGAATTAATTAAACATTCAGAACAAACAAATTCTGTGTTTAGAATAGAACTTTATGCATAAAACAAGATAAATTGTAATGCATACTCGAGCCGCTAAAGTAAAGCCGCTACCAGTGGCTTGCGGTAGTGAAAGAGTTAAACCATAACTAAACGTAAATTAAACATAAAACAAATAAGTTTATTGAACCATATGAACTAAATATAAAACAAAAAACCGCATCATACTGCCTTTATTCATTTCTCTGCCTGCGAACTCTAATAATCACAAAATATGTATAATTATGTCATGATTTTTGGCTGGCTTCTACAACAAAGTAATAATAAAATAAGTAAAAAAAATTATAGATATAAAAATATATATATATATATATATATATATATATATATATTTGTGTAATTTTTTACTAAATCACAAATATTTTTTGTGATTTAGTAAAATGTTATATAAATATTTTATTTTCTTATTGTAGTAGAAAAAATACTTATATCTTTAAAAAAACAACAACAAAAAAACGCTATCATAAAAAGATATTGTGAATAATTCATATACCAAAACTGTTATGAATTAACAAGCATGGAATAAATTATCAAGTCTGCAGATTGCAGCTAACATTATACAGACTCCGAGAACCAAAAAAAAATTAAGAAAGCGAGCTTTAACAAAAACAAAAATTTTAATTTTGTTAGTATGCATTCAATGTTTAGTTTCAATCAAAAAGATTTAGCCCAAATGTTTTTTTTAAGCATTTTCTTTGATATGAACACAACTTGTCTTGGCAGTTGGGGATCCCTTTAAACTAAGAAGAAAATTTAAAAAAAGTTATAATGATAAAGAACAAAACACTTATGAAAAATAAAATATTTAAGGACTTATAAAAACTCAAAAAACTTAAACTCAAAAGTAATGTTACTTTTTATTACATTTTAATTTTGTTTAAAATAAATAACTTTTAAACTCCAATGTTTTGTTTAATAAACTTTTTGGTTTGCATGTGTAATAATTTCAAATTTTTCTTGTAGGCATAGTATGCATATTTTGGAAATATTATTATATGTGGTAGCTGTTTTAACGATAAACCAATTAATATAAAATCATCAATCTTTTTATCCTTTAATTGCCATATATATTTTGACAGCATGGTGTCTTTTGAATACTTTTCATTTTTAAAGGATTGCTTATGATTGGCAAAACGTTTTTTTCATTCACCCGTCAGATATGCCATTATATTGTTTATCGGGTACATTCTTAGAGGAATCAACACATTTATATACCACATTTTTGGATAAACAACTTCCACTCATTGAACAATTGTTTTCTTTGTTTACAATTACAATTATCTGTAGTTTTTTTTAATTAGGATTTCTTTTTTTGTTTAACAAAGCATTATTGTGGCCTTTTATAACTCTTTCCATATTTTTGTGCGACTGTAGCTAACTTTAACTTTATTGATATGATAAATTTAATTTTAATTTGTTTTAATTTAAATTTAATATTGATATGATAAATTCAATTGTATTTTGGTTAAAAAATTTGCGTCATTTAATAGAGGGCCGGAAATGCTTATTGACTAATTTAAAAAACACTTTTTCTATGTTAGTGGAAATATTTTTGCTATATAGGGGGTTGAACCATATTACATTTCTAGTTCTATTTCTCTTTTTTTGTATTCTTTTTTTCAGGGTGAAATTTTAGTTCAAAGTTTTAAAACCACTTTTTATAAGGGCATCTTTAAATATTTGTTTAGAGGAATTGAATACATTTTCATTAAAGGAGTTTTGGTTTAGCCTTTTTTTTTGTTTTATTAATTGAAATCGGGTTTTGTTTTAAAAGATGTTTTCCAAAAGTTGAGCATTTTAACAAAATAATTTGTTGCG